GGGAGGGGGGCATAGAGTTTCCCTGGTGTTGGCCAGAGTGGCCACCAGGGAAACCTGGGGAGGGCTAGCCTCCCACTAGTTCGAATTAAGGGGCTACACACCCCTTAATTCGAACTAGTAAGTTCGAACTAGGCTTAATCCTCGTAAAATGAGGTTTTCCTAGTTCGAACTAAGCGCTCCACTAGTTCGATTCAAATTCGAACTAGCGGAGCGCTAGTGTAGCGGCTATGAATGTTAGTTCGAACTAGCGTCCATTAGTTCGAACTAACATTGTAGTGTAGACATACCCTAAGATCCATTCTGAACTGGAAAATATTATAAAACTCAAGAGAGTATTTCATGAGATGGGTAAACCAATTCTAGCCCAAAGTTTGGATTTAAATCCAAAGTTTGGATTTACATTGGTTTAAGGTCATAGAACTATAGCATCATAGAATCCTAGGGCTTGAAGAGACCTCAGGAGGTCACTGAGTCCAACCCCCTGCCCAAAGCAGGAGTAACCCTAACTAAATCATCCCAGCCACGGCTTTGTCAGGACCTCTAGGAAAGGAGATTCCACCACCTTCCTAGGTAACCAGTGTTTACCCACCCTCCTAGTGAAATAGTTTTTCCTAATATCCAACCTAGACCACCCCCATCCTTGTTCTGCCATCTGTCACTACTGAGAACAGCCTTTCTCCGTCCTCTTTGGAACCTCCCTTCAGGAAGTTGAAGGCTGCTATCAAATCCCCCCTCACTATTCTCTTCTTCAGACTAAATAGCCCAAATCCCTCAGCCTCTCCTCATAGGTCATGTGCTCCAGCCCCCTGATCATTTTGGTTGCCCTCTCCTGGACCCTCTCCAATGCATCCATGTCCTTTCTATAGTGTGTGGACCCCAAGATATTTATCTCAAACTCAGATTTACTGGAAAACCACACTAGTGTGCCTTTCTAGAGTTTGTTCATTCATAATTAATTTTGGCATAGTCCGATAAGACATTGAGGTACTCATTTTTTATTGAAGTTAATGGGAACGAGGGTGTTCAGTACCTTAGATTATTGGGTTCTTTCTGTGCAACTTTTCATTAAAGGCATAATGCTGATTGCTAAAGATGTGATGCTGCAGCCTTTATACAAAAGAGGGTTTTTTTTCTCAGGAAAGTAGTCCCACTTACTTCAGTAATACTATCTATAGTCCTGATCCTCATTCTTGTACACAATGATGAGTGTAGCAGTGTTCTAACTCATACTGTTATGCAGTTAAATAAGTGGACATTGCACAGGCCTTGCTTATCTTTTACACATCCCCTAAATAGGAAGTTTTTCCATGGAGTCTCAGATCTGCAAAATAAACAGAATGCTAACACTTATTTGTCCCTTGTATCTTATAATGTGAAAGATTATGTGAAAAACAGACATTTTTCTGAACTTTTATAATGTAGCCATTTTGGAGTGCTGCTTTTAGCCCAGGATGATATCATGATGTGCAGAGCTTGAAAAATGTATGTGTAGCTGTATTATTTTTGTTATAAAGGGAAATTTAGTAAGAATATAGATTTTCCTTAGTCACTTATATTTCAAATGTAACATTAAGCTGGTATCTTTTCCAGTATACAGACGATACAGTATAATCAGAAGTGCTTCAGCCCTGATTATCACAGCCCCTGCAGATTATATCCAGACAAACAATAACATAAGTATGGACTATGTCCTCTCTCATGCACTTTGTATTGTGTAAAGTGAATGGAAATGCCAAAGTTTTTCTATTTTCTTTAATAATCTCTTGCCCTGCACCATTCAGTATAATTATAATCATTAATAAATTAATAATGATGCATCATTGCAGTAGCTTCATTTACAAATTTAAAAAATCTAGAAATGGAGAAGTTAAGGTTTTAACACAGGCCCTCCCAACAGTTAGGTTGTTAGCCATTATTATAGTTACACTAACATAGGTGCATCATTCTAAATATGTAGCATTAGATATGGCATACTGATGTGAATCAACAGTTGCAAATCTTGGTCTGCACCAATGTAGCTATATCAGCATAGCCACCTGCATGCTAAATACCACCTGCTCTATGTTGTTATATGTACTGGCAAACAAAAACTATGCTAACAATGTTAAGATTGCAAAGTCATGTGCTGAAGAGTTAGGAAATTCCAGAATGGAGGTCCTGCATGCAATGTTAATTCCTCTTCCTTCTTGCATATGGATTTTGATGCACTCTTTTAATTATTGTGACTCCTAATATTTTTAATGAGACACTATAAAATAATCATGATTAACCGAAACACCAATTGAAATGTATTACATATTTTGGATGTTTTTCTACATTTTAAAATATATTGATTTCTGTTCCAACACAGAATACAAAGTGTACAATTCCTATCTTATATTATTTTATAACAAATATTTGCATGTAAAATGATAAAAGAAGGTAGGGGCTGTTCTCCCTACTTGCCACACTTGCCAACCTTCCATCGCAGGCGGTAGGCAACCCTGGCTTTCGCCACAGTCATTGGAGAGGGCTGGGGTGCAGCTGTGTAAGTTCCTTCTCCCTCTCATGCTGCACCAGCCTGGCCCCCTTCCTCACTCCCAAACTCCCTGCCAGCTAGGGCCCCCTTCTCCCTCCACCAGCCAGAGCTCCCTTATTCCTCCCCCCATCTGACAACCAGGGCCCCCTTCTCTCCCCCCACTCCCTACCGTGGCCTAACCATAACTCCAGTAACTGGGCAGTGGCACACAGCAGGCCCAGCTCTAATCCCAGTGGCCAGGCTGTGGTATGCACCAGACCCAGTTCCCGGGTGCCAGAAGGGGCTGGATCCGAGGTGTCCTGGCCCTGTTTTCCTGCCAGGATGTGCTGGGCCCAACCCATGCGGTCAGGGCCGCAGGACCAGCTTTCCCTCTG